TGGGTGTTCTAGTTCTAGATCTACTTGTAAGGCTATGTTGGGATAACAGGTAGGACACATGGATATACATGGATGAATGCGAGGAGCTGATGCCTGAGTGGCTCAACTTCGTGAAGGGCGTGGTGGATTCCGAGGATTTGCCTCTGAACATCTCCCGTGAGACCCTTCAGCAGAATAAGATTCTGCGCGTCATCAAGAAGAACCTGGTGAAGAAGTGCCTGGAGATGTTTGCCGAGATTGCGGAGAAGAAGGACGACTACAAGATACTCGGCTCACAAGCTCGTTTGCTTGCATCATGAGGGAACTCCAGATTGATTTGCCGATGCCGCATTTGAAAACGGTAGGCTTCCCAACACTGCATCTTTCTTTTTGCAAGGAAATTCTATGAGCAGTTCGGCAAGTGCCTCAAGCTGGGCGTGCACGAAGACTCCACCAACCGCACCAAGTTGGCGGAGCTGCTGCGCTACCACACGTCCAAGTCAGGAGACGAGCAGATCAGCCTGAAGGAGTATGTGGACCGCATGAAGGAGGGCCAGAACGACATCTATTACATCACTGGTGAGAGCATCGCCGCTGTCTCTTCCTCCCCCTTCCTGGAGACCCTTCGCAAGAAGGGTATCGAGGTGCTCTACATGATCGACCCCGTCGACGAGTACTCCGTGCAGCAGCTAAAGGAGACTCCAACCCAATGGTGTTGCATCTGCGAATTATGGCCCTCCTCTGATGATGCCATCATGTCTCAGAGTGATGATGATGCTGCTGATGATGATTATGATAAGTTGATGCTCCCAGTACCAAGAATTTTGACCCAATGTTGGATCTGCCATATGTGCACGGAAAGCGATTCCAACATGAAACTTTTTCTAAATTGTTCATCCCTCTCGGGACGGGAAATCCTTCTCATCGCTGGTTGCTCCACTTTGTTGATGTTGTCCTGGCTGTCCTTCACATGCTAGCAGCCGCGCTAAGAATCACACAGAATGTTGTAGTTTCCCTAAATGGGGGGGGACCCCAATATAGACCCCAATATACGGCCGTTATAATCCTTACTATGGACCGCCAAAAAGGGACCCCTCACTGTTGGGAAACCCCCATAGGAACTATAGTCTAAACTCCTTTAAGGGGGGGATATAGGGGATTATATAGGGGACTACTATAGGGGTTATTAAGGGGGATACTAGGAGTTTAGACAATGGTTCATATGCGGCCCAAGCTTTTCGCAGACCTCAATGCGGAGTTTCTCGTGTACATCCGTGCAAGCCCTAAAGCAGCATCAACTTTGGACACTAATTACTCCTTGGCAAGTAGCTAGGACCTTAGACCCTGAATTTCTGTGGGATTCTCCTATATTCCTATTACAGCTACCCAAAAGTTGATTTTTTAGTAGGGGTGCTAAGTGCCATGGTGATTAGAGCCTGAACGGAGTTCCTTGAACCCTGAGCGCTGAATCCGAAGAACTCAGCACCAAACAAGTCTTTTGACAAATCCCCAAGCCTTGCCCCATACATGGCGACAGGAGTTCGACGGCAAGAAGCTGAAGAGCACTACTAAGGCATTTGGGTTTCGCATTTTGGGATAAGGGATTCATGTTTGGTGTGGAGATTCAATTTGAGGGTTTTGGCATTAGATATGGTGGTTTCCCAAAATAAGGGTACCCCAATATAGACCCCCAAATACTATAATCCTTATTATAGGCACCCCCCAAAAAGGTACCCATAATTTTGGGATTCCCCATATCAGGGTTTAGGAGGTGAAGCACTGGTGGAGTTCAGGATGAAACATGTTGGCTTTGGTAAGCAGTTTTCCTAGTTTCAGCTGATCTTCCGCTCGATGTCAAGAAAGATCACTCGACTTCAAAACCCTACTGAGAGGCAATCTTATCATACCCAAGGCGATTTTTGTGACAACATCCCTTGCATGTTCCACCGTTCCTTGTGTTCTGCTAATGATCAGGAGGGCCTTGACATTGAGGATGAGGATGAGAAGAGTCTTGGCGAGGGATTCGTACTGTGGTTCTTTTTGAGTGCTGCTCTGGCGTATCGTCAATGCCATCTTTGGTGCAGACTTCTGCATTCTACATCAAGCTCATTGCTCTTGAGAAGGTTGTCGGCTATTGTAGATCTCTCCTCAACGTATTGTGGATGTCGAGCACGCGAGCACAAGAAGAGCAATTGCGGGATATGTCCTACAGACATGGGAGTCCTTCAAAATGACGGCAATTTCCCACCTTCAGGGAGAAGGGTTCACCCTCTACTTATCATGGATCGTGTTTCCTGGACAAAGGAAGAAGCTGGAGGAGATGAAGGCGGAGTTTGAGCCTCTCACTAAGCTGATGAAGGAGGCCTGTGAGTGGCGGAGGGTTTTGGGGCTTTGTGGAGTTGTAGGGTTGGAGGGAGTTGGGCTTTAAGTGAGGGGTTTGTGTTTAAGGTGTTGGGGGGGGGCAAGTTTCGCCATATGGGTTCAAGAGTTCGAGGGAGTTCCAGGTTTCGAGAGGTCTGGAAAGTTCGGTAAGAAGCTATTGGGTTGCACTGTTCAAGCTCTTGTTTTTTCGGTTGTAGACCTTTGGGAAGGTCGGGACGTTACTGGTCACTCATTTGGAGTGGAGCCTACATGAGTCGCTCTGCAAGTCGACCTTTCAGAAATTTTGCATGTCGAAATTTTTCTTCGACGTCTCAAGTTCCCATATCCTGACTCGACTATTCTCTCATGCGAAAGAAGTTTCCCACAATAGTTGCTGGCAGCACTCTTGACAGGTCCTGGGCGACAAGGTGGAGAAGGTCATCGTTAGCTCTCGCATGGCCGATTCGCCTTGCGTGTTGACCACCTCCGAGTATGGCTGGTCTGCCAACATGGAGCGCCACTAGGCCTTAAAAGAATGATGACTCTCATGTGATCACATGTGTGTCCGGCTCCGCAGTTTGCCTGTTGTTTTGTTCACATACTCCATCACAGCGAAGGTATCATGAAGGCGCAGGCCCTTCGCGACAACTCCATGACCTCGTACATGGTGTCCAAGAAGACCATGGAGGTGAACCCCAAGCACTCCATCATGGCGGAGCTCAAGAAGAAGGCTTGTGGGGTGATTTTGATCCTTTGGTTTGAAAGTTAGGAGTGGAAGCCTCCCCGAGATGTGCACCCCACCCCAGATGGCAGGCCGCCGCCGACAAGTCCGACAAGACGGTGAAGGACCTGATCTGGCTGCTCTTCGACACTTCGCTCCTCACCTCCGGCTTCAACCTGGATGAGCCGACCCAGTTTGCTGGCCGCATCCACCGAATGATCAAGCTCGGCCTTAGCATTGATGATGATGACGAGGGGCTGGGCGATGACGACGACCTCCCACCGCTGGAGGAAGTCGAGGGCGCTGCCGACGAGGCTTCCAAGATGGAAGAGGTCGACTAAGCTTTTCAATGAGAGGTACAGTGATGTGGCACTCATCATGATACAGATTCTACTCCTGTGATCGGTATGGAAAAGGCTACTCACAGTTGTACGTGTCTACTGTACCGGAATTCGCGTAGGAGCTGGGTCTCGCACCCAGCTGTAGGACGAGACTGACACAGACCCAGCGACAGACTTGTTCACGAAAAGCTGTCCTCCAATAGCAGCGTCCAGCTACCACACCACGTCTTTGCCCAAAAACTTTGGCACGCAAGGCATAAACTCCCTCTCCCCCTTAAGTAGATAGAATATGGGGTATACGGGGATCTTATTGTAATATACCCAAAGCCATATTCTATCTACTTACATAAGGGGGACTATATCCCCTAAACCCTAAAGCCTGAAAAGTAGTTTCCATTTTCTTTTCCTTTATCCCTATATAACCCCTATATTCTATCTCCTTAAGGGGGACTATATATCCCCAACCTTATCTCTTTCTTTGTTTGCTTCAGAGCCTTCAGCTCCTCAGGCTCCTCCACGAACAACTGGGGGTTTCCCAAAATTAGGGGGTACCCTTTTGGGGGGGTCCCTTTTAAGGGGGCTATATAGGGGTAATATAGGGGTTATATAGGGATAATGGAAACGAAAATGGAAACTACTATTTAGGGTTTAGGGTTTCCTAAAATTAGGGGTACCATTTTGGGGGCCCCTGTAATAAGGATTACAGTATTTGGATGTCTATATTGGGGTCCCCTTATTTTGGGAAATTGCCAACTCTACTTCAGGGAAATGATTGGGGAAGAGCCTTAGCAGGAATCATGTATGGTAGTTTGTCACGATGTGTCAAAATCATGGTCCCTTTGGCTGGGTTCCAGTTGTAGTTCAGCCCCCAATATTTGGGGTATTCAGGCCTAACTACCCTAAACCCTAAACCGCAACTGTGTCGGTCATAGCTATGATAATATTGGGCAACTACCAAGAGAGGACCCTGTAGAAAACTCCTCAAAAAGGGGGTTACACAGGGTTTAGGGGTTTGGGTTCAAGGTCTAAACTCCTGAAAGGGAGTTGTTTGTAGGGTGTTATATAGGGGAGTATTTTAGGGGTTACTAAGGGGGACACTAGGAGTTCAGACTAGCCTTGCTGTGACTTGGTCAAGACACTGGTTTATATCCCCAACCTTATTGGTTTCGGGTTTGGGGTTGTGCCCCTGGAGCCAAAACCAACCCTGAACCATCCACTGACTTCTAAACAAGCCCTGAACAGCAGTTGTGGCATGTTGTGGCGGTTGTGGCAGCAGCAGTTAGCGTACTGGAATGCTGAGATACAAACTTGAAGCCAAAAAAACACGATCAGCACATTTATGTCCATTTATGATTTATGTCTGTCATTCCACAAGGGCTAGAACCCCACTTTCTGAACTGTGCACTCAGTCGCTTATCTGAGTATTGCTACTGCCATTATTGCTATGAGCCTTGGCTGCCCAATGCCCAACAACATCTAGTAATCCCCATTATTCCCTTATACTCCCTAAGCGTCCCTAAGGTTCCCCAAGGCTCCCTTGTACCCTACCCCCTTGAACCACCCCTCCTTTAGGATCCTATAAAACATGGCACAACAAGGCCAGGAGATTGAACGCTTTCGGTCGTGAGCTCAGCCCTGGAATCTTCAAAGAGTTTGCCAGCCTAATGGACCCAGGGCATCCGGGAAACTGTGGGTCGTGGGCCATAGGAATGCCTTTACATTTAAGAAGTTTAGCATCGCTGTGAAACAGCTTGAGTAGAAGATGGCTAATATATTACTATAATATACTATAATATGCTATAATATACTATAATATACTATAATATACTATAATGTACTATAATATACTATAATATATCATAATATACCATAATATACTATAATATACCATAATTAATATACTATAATGTGGTGTTACCCCGGGAAAGTGTGGCCTGAGACATGCTCAGGACATCCGTGCATTTCTCTTTTCAATAGGCTGTAAAGCACTGAACCACCCTGGACCCTAAACTCTACACCCTAAAACCCTAAACCCCAAAACCTTAAAACCCTAAAACCCTAAACTCTGAAACCCTAAACCCTAAAACCCCAAAACCCTAAACCCTAAAACCCTAAAACCCTAAAACCCTAAACTCTGAAACCCTAAACCCCATGGCGCCAGCTCACTCTAAAGGTTGGCAAATGGCGGGGAAGGGGTCTAGGACATCCAAGCCTTTGCCCAGGGATGCAAGTTAAGGGCCCTATAATAAGCTGTATAGTCTAAACTCCTAGTATCCCCCTTAATAACCCTAGATTCTTAGTCTAAATGCCTAGCATCCCCCTTAATGACCCTCATAATGCTCCCCTTTAGAATCCCCTACAAACGACGCCGTCTAAGGAGTTTAGATTGTAGTTCATATAACCTTGTGGATTCTGACCCTTGACGCGTCCCTCAGGCAGTCTGCGACGGCGGCCCCTCCTCCGTTTGTGGACGGAGGCAGAGAACGCAAGGATTTGAGTAGTATTTTATTTAGGGATATTATGGTACCCAATATAAAGTAAGATTATATCCTCCTTCTGGGGCTCATTTGGGGTTTAGGGGACTTTGACACGTATCTTTTTGAGTGTTGAGGGGCTCTTTACGCACGTTTTACAGTGAGTGTGGACGGCGTTTGAGAATCTGTACCTAAAGCCATCGGGCCTATGGGGCACATGGCAGGGTTTGAATACGTGGGGCCTCTTCACTATATGTACATGTACAAGGTTGCACATAAAATGCTATGGTGTCCATGCATACGCTTGTAGGGGTCTAGAACCCTCTGCGTGATTTCAATCTTCTGATTCTGGGGTGCGTTGGTGCGCCCCTGCTTTTTTTCTGGCAGAGTCCCCTAATCGGGAGAAAAACGTATGTCATGCAATGAATGATGCGGAAGTGTAGACCACTTGGTCCTTATATCGTTCCCAAATCCGCAGTGTAGTTATTCAGGAGCCCTGACCCCTACACCCTCAAGCCTAAAACCCTGATTCCTAAACCCAAAAACCTGAATCCAAAGCCCTAGACCCTAAAGCTCTGCAGGGGCTGCACCGGCAGGCCCTGTCGCTGAGGACGCCTTGAGTTGCCGATCCAGGGGTTTGCTGGTAACCCTAGAACCCCAAACTCTAAGCAAAGCCCTTTGAGGCTTGGGTTTTGGGTTTGGGCTGAGTCGCATCTGACAATAAATGCAAAAGAAGTCAAGACAGGTCCGAACCTTTTTCAACCGTACTCATATTGGCAGTGAGGATTGGGACTTCCATGTTGAGACGTGCTGAAGTAGAAAGTTCTGGGTAAGAAAGCTATCAAGGTTGGAGCAACATGTGTCCCAGTCCTTTTATTTGCTGAGGCCGTGATAGATGAAATCCAAATTTCGGAATCTGACTCCTTATTGTTTGAATTTGGCCCCAGAGACTGTTTGTTTACACCCTATGCGAAGCGCTTAACACTCCAACCGGAAGGCAACCCTAAGCCTTAATCTTCCTACAGTCCCGAGACCCGCTTTGCAATCCTCACATATAGTACTTTCCCAAAACAGGGGGACCCCAATGTAGACCCCAAAATATTATACTCCTTACTATGGGGACCCCCAAAAAGGTACCCCTAATTTGGGAAAGTCCCCATATGTCCTGGACCGAGGAATCCTTCAACCCTCGCCCTGAACCCTCCTTCCCCATCTTGAATCCCTCAACCCTATACTCTATACATATGTGCATGCGTTTATATATATATATACATATAGTATATACATGTGTATACATGTGTATACGTGTTTATACATCCTGTTTGGAGTTCATCCTATACATGTACCTACTTTGCGAAACGAAGCTGCTCTTGGGAAGGAAGCAGCGAAGAGCAAGAAAAAGAAGGTGAAGAAGGTGTTCTGACCCTGAAGGGTTTTGTGTTGAGGCTTAAGGGTTCAGGTTCTGCAGACGTCTATGGTTTCGGGGCTAGGGTTCAGTGCCTTCGGCTTCATGTTTAGTGCTCAGGGCTGAAGGCTCACAGTCTAAGATGTTCTTTTCAGGATAGCTCTTGTGATTCTGGGCCTGAGTCCCTGAGGCCTGAAGCCTGCACTCTGAACTTTTCTTGGGGTTCTTTTCCTGTAGTCTCCTTAGGATTGGTTTTCGTTTCGATTAACTATATATTATGGGTCTAAGGGACTACAGTTTTCTTGCACTTGTGTCTCAGGGCGCGTGTCTGGTTTACGCCCCTGGAGCGAAGGGTAGGATTTGTGCGATGCCCCTGGCTCTGATGTTATGATTGTTTCGGTTCGAAGGCTGAGAGAGTGCTTTTCTGATGAATTTAGATATAGGTATGTATTTGTTCAGATATTATATAATTATATAATATTATATAGTATGTACACGCTGTAATATTTGTAGAGGTACTATATATCTTAGGTGGACCCCCCCCGGTCTAATAGTGGTATTATAGGAATAGAAGAGGACCCTAAAATAGTCAACATTCGCCCTTATTGACTATTACTGGGTGGGGGGTCCACCTAATACCCTAAACCCTAAATCCTAAACCCTAAGCGTCACACGTATTAAGCCCCAAACCCCAAACCCTAAGCCCTAAGCCCGAAACCCTTGGTCTCTATCCTCTTTCTACGAAGAATTGTTGCCAGGGGTTCATGCCACGTCTGCAGACATGTGCTTTA